GCGGTGGGGGATTTGTAAAAATATAACATAGGATACACTATTTTGGCTAGGATGTGAGCAGGTTTTCACTGGCAAATCTGTTGGTGTCCATCGCTCTTCCTTCACAAAGGGGTTTGTGGGGTGTTGGGTTTCGTGTGAGCTGAGGGTACGTGGCTACAGACGCTGCAAAGTGCCTTCAGCAACAAAGAGCCAGATGCGGTGAGTTTGATCAGAGTCAGATGGAGTTTGGGGGAATAAAACACCCAAAAATAGGTGGTCATTGGAATAGAAACAAAAAGAGAAATTGTACATTGACCCTGAACTCATCTGACCGAAAAAAGGAATAAATCCCTCATTTTTCCAGCATAAAAACCTATGCAGTTTTCTAGAGACTAAGAGGCCTTAGATCTTACTGCTTTGTCTTTCTTACCGCTAGTAGAGCATTCAGCCTTAAGAAAACCATTAAGAATATGCTTTCTCAGGGTATCTCAGGCTTTTTACTGTTCAATAGCAGGGGAAAAAAATGAATTAATATTATTCTGTTGGTTTCACAAACTGAGAGAGGGGGACTTAAGGATTTTCCTCTCTTAGAAAAGTTTTACTTTGCAGGTCTCAGCTGTACCAAAATTAGGCACATTTACTGCAGGATAACCTCACTACTGTTTAGCGTGTATTTGAAATATACAGGCACACCAGAGGAAAACCAGCAGTATGAAATTAGCGTACCAAGAGAAAAAGGCAAGGATGGGATCCGATCCTCTGGGGCTGGCTGCCGGCGAGCCCGCAGCGTGTGTGTGCTCTCTGCTTTACTCCCACTGCCCTTGATTTCTCAGGCTGTTTTGAAAGACAAAAAGAAAGTTGGTAATCATACACCGACAGATGGTTCCTTGGTGAGTTACTCTTTATTTAGAGGGAAGCAACTGCGATTCATCAGTTTTTTCTTTTTTTTTTTTTTTATAGCTACATCATGGTGAACTTTCAACTCCAAATCTATTTCTAAGAAGTATTGTGTGGCAAATGTCTATTAATAACAAACCTTGGGCTGACTGGAAATTTCTTTTTTCAAAATTCATATTCCATTCTTCGAGATGTTTTCACCCAATTTTGTTTCACTTTTCAATGACAGAGCTGTCTAGAAAGTTTTCCAGTGAATACCTATTAAATATATTGCTTTCGTGCCTATAATTAGAACTTAGATGTTTCTTTCTTATTTTTGGACTTCTTTTCTTTACCTTAATTGCAAATTGATAGCTAATGAGCTGCTTGCTTTTTATTTTGATCCTAAACATTTTTTATTTATTATTTTGGGGCAAATATTATGCTTGTAGCACCTCCCTACACATATCAGAGTTAAGCTGTTTCTGTGAATAGTCCTTTTGAATGGTATTTTACAGAACTCTATATGCACTTAAAGTTAAGAATGTCTCTAAATAACTATGCTAGATGGAAGCCTGAACCAAAACTTTGGAACAATTGGCTTAAAGCTGAAGAGTGGCTCTCTACATTAAATAGAGAAAGCTTGTGTTACAGTCCAGCTCATGCCTTAGGGGTTCATTTTCCTTTTGACCCTTTTGGGTTGATGTAGGAATTCATTGCACATCTTAGATCCAAGTGAACAGCAATTTCTCCAAGATTCCCTAATTAAGGGAAAATCCCATTAAAAAACCCAAACAACAATGAAAGACTCTTTGGGGGCTTCTGTTTCATGTTTCCTACCTGAGCAGACATCAGTACAGGCCTGCACCAAAATTACTGAGTGCAAACAAACTTGCACATGACGCAGAGTCCAAGTTTTCTTTTACAGAAGTGGGGGAGACTTTCACCGATTTTTTTTTCCCAGCAGCACAAACTCTACATATCACAACTCACTTTTTCAGGTATTAAAGTGGGTTGAAGAAAAAAAGATTACTATTTTGACTTTTTAAAAATACATTTTAAAAAGAAATACTTTACATTTGAAAAACAGAAGAGGACTATCTCTATACTTAGTTACCACAAAGAACTTAATGTAGCTGTGCTTACTAATTTTTAAAGAATTCCTCTGAATTTTGCCAGGGAAAATCTCAGGGAAATCAAATAGTCAATTTAATATCTTTAATTCTAAAAGAATCTGAAGCAAGCCTGCTCCAAATTATTTTATATTTGGACCTGAGGTTTTGGGTTAGTCTACTACAAATCTGTAGAATTCAGATCAACCTCAAAACCAGTCCATAGCTGGAAGGATCAGAGCTGAATTCAATACCATTTCCAGGTCACTCAGCACTATGCAAGTTCAACTTCTTGGAAATTCTTCACTTTTTTTCAGGTTATTGCCACTACCAAATATCTGTGTGAAGGTTCATTCTATAACAGGGAAAATGAGAGGAAGAGTCCTTTTTTCACAGGGGTCTTATGGATATACCATATTGCTGGCCTTCTAGCCAAAAAATGTGTATATCGATTTCCTATGAGGAATGGTGTGCTGTTAGTAGATGGGATCACTGACATGAACGACTCATTCTCTTGCAAACCGTTGCCTTCCTCGTCTCCCTTTTGCAAAAAGCTCTCTTCTTATTGATAAAACTCAGTAGGCAACTGGGCATTTCTGTTGTCTTATCCTCAGTTCACCTGCTAGGACATGAGCTTGCCCAAGTGCTGCTGAAAGGTATTAGGATGACGCCACGTTTTCACATGGAGAAAGAAGATACTACAAGGAAATCCAATGGGAGGTCCCTTAGACAAATCTGTCCAAAGGCCTGGACCAACTATTTCAAGGATTTATTTTGTGTACATCTTCCTTGCAGGAGAGCTCAAGGTAGACTCTCTGGTCCAGCCAGGACTGTTCTTCTCCATCTCCTCATCATAAGAAACAGTCACATCCCCAGCGCTCAGCCCAGCCGACTTGCCCTGCAGGCACCTCCCTCCCTCCCCCTGACTCAATGGATCCTCCGGCTGCCCTCCTCCTCCTCTTCCCCTCTTTGGCACTGATCTGAAACCCCGACAGGTCACACAGTCCGCAATGAGATTAAGACCAGGATTTGTAAAGATGATGCCTTTTTAGACAGCTTAATAGGCCAGATGCTCAGCTGAGGATCAGGCCATCTGTCCACTCAAGCCCTACCTGTACCAAACAGGTTATTGCTAGCAGAACTGTTAAGAGAGAGGGAGACAATTCGGGACTGCAAACCCAAAACCCAGCTACACAGGTACGCAGAAGGACCTCCTGACACTAAGCATGTGGAAGAGAAAACAGGAGATTATATTCATGGCTGATAAAGGCACTAGTAAGAGGGAGACAATCCCAACCGCACGCACAGCGAAGGACTTCTTTGCTTTTTCAGCAGATATAAAGCAGCCCGAGAGTCAGCAAAAAACATAATTATACTAACTTTAAAACCTTTTGCACTGCCAGGGTAGTGTGAACTGAGGCTCCCCTATAAATGAGAGTCAAACCCAGTCTCCAAAGCCAGCTGCTCCTTTAGTGCAGTGATCTGTCTCCATACTTGCTGATAAGCACTCTATGCCCCGTGACTTATAATAAAAGGGAACGATGGTCCCTGAACAAACCCAGAAAAGAGGTATTGATTTGCAAATAGTTTAAAGAATATTCAAGGGTCATGAGCTGACCCTTTTTCAGCTCTGACATTTTATATCAGGGAGGATCCTATTGAGATGGGAATTCATATCCTAGACATTGTTTTGTCTTGTTTCATAAATAAGTTGAATAGCTTAATTGATTGACACCCACTGCACTTTCCCAGCTTCCTCAGGCTCAAAAGTACACTGCTGTTTTCTGCCATAAATAATATGAACTTTCAATCAGCCGCCAGGCACAAAAAGGAACTGAAAATTCCTCATACAATAGCTTCAATCTGGCATATGAGGCATTGCAGGTCTAAAAAGGAGAGCAGTATTTGATATCACCAGGTATTCATTTTCTTCCTGCAGCAGCAATAGCATTTTCCTACCCAAATGACCTAAACCCTAAACAAGAAACACCCAGGGGCCCCTGTGGGGAGGAAGACCAGTTTGTCTCGGCATTTGTGTGTGTTCAGGGGTTAGGAAACCGGTTTACAATCCTGTGAACACAACATGGGGAAGGACACACTGGACCACCGAATCCAGTCCCTTGGAGGTGCCAGTACAGCATCCCCTCATCCCTCCTGGACTCTGATCCAACTCCATCTCAACCCAAGCAACATTATTTGCCCCCACGCTCCCCATTTGTCCCCAGATCTCACTCCTCTGATGGTTACAAACCTCCTCCTAATTTCCAGTCTATGCTTATTTGTGATTAATTGAGATCAATCTGTTCTCATGGCAGGTTCATTCTTTTACTTAAATAGCTTTTTTCCTCCCTGGATGTTTAGCCCCCTGATGGATTTGATGTTCATTTCTCCTCCTCAGCCTTGGTTTCACTAAGGGAAATAAATAAGCCACACACTTTGAATGTCTTCTTTTTAAGACATTTAATGGCCTCGTCAGCAATTCTAGTGACTTTTGGTGAGTTCTTGGGTAAGCTTATAGGCCACACTTTCAAAAAACAGGTGCAAAAATGAGTTTGAATGTGTTGAGGACTTCCTCTGGAGGAAGAAAGGTGCGGATGTAAGCTCTTACCTTCAGTTGCCCAGTTGGAAAACGTTAGCTTCTAACCTCCCTGTGCTTTAATTTCCCCATCTGTAAAATAGAAAGGACAATACAGACCTCAGAGGGGAGTAATTAAGGTTTCTAAAGTGCTCCAGATCTTCAAGTGAAAGGTTCAATTCCAAATGCGAAGCTCTTTTGTCTGTTGTTCTTTACTTGTTACTTCTTAAGGACTGCAAACCCTGGAGAGATGGCACTGAGCCAGACTAAAGCCGAGGAAAGGCTTCCCCATTGATTACAGTGGGATACTTTTATGCAGAAAGTTTCATAAAAGGTGACAGGCATCAGTTGCTAAGACAGAGCAATAAAAACTAAGAGAGAAAGAATACTGACTGAAACTATTGCAAGGCCAATTGCTAAGATCAGTAGTTTTTCTTTAGAAGAAGCAGCAAACAGTTAAATGTATTTTTCTTGCTTTGTTTCAGAAGAAAGCTCTCCAAGGATGACCACCATACGCATCCTCATCTGTAATTAATAAATGTTTGGAAGGACACTTTCCCACTCAACATATTAAATTATAGATGATCCCTTAATTCCCCAGACATTTGCAAGCCTTGTCTTGTCAGAATTGAATTTACTACAGCTGATTACCCTGAGAATGCACTGACCTTCTTAGCTCCTGCTGTGGTCTTTATTTTTTCCATGGCAGATAATATGGGGACCAGAAACTGGGGACTTGGTAGTAGGGATTATGTGATACTAATGAGACAAAGCTTATTGTTGATGTTAACTGTTATTACCACTAAAAAAAGTGCACAACTCCAGACACATGGACTTCACTTTGTTATACCAGGAGGGAGCGAATGCATTTTGACAGTAGCGGCATCTATTTAAAATCTGGATCACATCTGGTGCGTCTCTGAAACAGACCGTATCTGATCAATCAGAATTATGGCTCTTCAGTCTCCAGACGAGTTAGAAGAAATTCATTATCTGTTTTGAAGCCTGCTTCTCTTTCATCTATTAAAAAATTAAATAAGATTCATTGTCACTGGATCCATTTAGCTACTGAAAGAAAGAAAGAAAGAAAAAAGGACAGTAATTAAACTAACTAGGAGGCTCCACATCTGAAGACATGATTAATTCTTTGAAACACTGTGCATGTAGGTACTTGGCTCACGCTAGGCTTCAGTCAACAGTTTCTTAGCTGATTAAATAGATAACCAGAAAGACGGAGATAAGTCCTAGGCTATTTCCTAAACTCTTGGAAACACCCACATGAATTTCTTCAAACTCTGTCAGAGGTCAATATTTGTCTTTCAGGCACATTTAGCCCCTGTGCTGGGCATGCTGCTTGGGAGATACCGCCTTGAGGACAGCAATGTCTCCATGGGGCCTCCTACCCACAAGGATGTCCCCGCTCTCCCATGTATTATCCCCTTCTGGACCAGCAGTTTTGAATGCTGAAAACCGACACTGAAATGCTGGGAATTCTTCCGTGTGAGGTCTGGTGAACCCAAAAAGACGGTGAGAGCCTTGGTTTATGAATAACTAAAAGCAGAATGCAAAAGGATGTGTCCTGTTCTGGATCACTTGAATTTCTTAATACAATTTTTCTGATAACAGAGAGAGTGTTTTCTTGCCTTTGCCGATGAGCACAGAAGCCACATCAGCTACGACTTAGCCTCTGAAGTTCTTGTCATTGCTTCCCTCTTTACCATGTGTTTTCTTTGAGGTCTGCAAGAGCACAGTTCAGAAAGTAGCCTTCTGAAAGCAATGGACTTTTATTTCCCTCGTTCACAACTTTTAAAAGAAAACTTAAATTAAAAGAAGGCATTTTATAGGTGTTATAACTAAAGCTGGTGAGAGAACAAAATGTTATTTTGGGGACAGGGAAACTCAGACTTTAGGTTCAAAACTATAACCTTTGAAGAACAATTTAAAACACTTACCAACATTTGTGAAATATTTCGCAAAATTCATTGTCAAATTGCTATTTTTAATTGATTTGTGTTAAAGAAACCCAGAGAAAACATCTACTTTTGTGAGTGGGGTGGGGGCAGTGACCGTAACCTTCCAGAGGAGCATCAGGTGTGCAAAGGAGACCAAGGCTGGCATTAATTTCTTCTGTAGCAGTGATGGCTCAGAAGCAAATGACTTTGTTTATGGATCATGTCCAGATGGGTGAAGTACAAAATGAAGTTATAATAGCTGCCTGCCCCAAAATGCTAAACCACCCTCAAAATTAGGGGGGGCAGCTCCAAAGCCGTTTATCTACCATGGGTGCAGGAATGTCATGGGAAACTTCATTCCAGATGATATATACCAAAATCTCCTGCTAGCAGTACTATCTTCTCTGGAATTTCTACAAATCATGGATGACAATTTTCTAACCAAGAAGTAAAAGTTAACAGTAACTAAGGTGGAAGTGATTATGTTTGATTCCTGTCTAAGCCAGTTAAAAACACATGTTATTTCAAGACAGCCAGTTTCACAAAGCTGAATCAAGTACAAGTCAGCTGTAAGGAAGGACTGAAGACTAAATGTGATGCCTGTAATGAATAGTTTAAAATTATTTAGCTAGATGTAAAAAAACCCAAATAACAACAACAAAAACGAACTAAAACTGTAATTAAGAAAGCATGGTTCAAAAAACAATCTAGGATAGAAACGGATGCAAAATGAACAATAATAAAGAAGAATGGGTGGATGTTTAGAAGATAGATGTTGTAAACACTGAAAATACATCCTGGAGCTATATAAAATTAATAAGGAAGCAAAGGGACACAAGGAAATACATATGGCCAAAGAAAAAGGCAGTAAGAAGCAGATGTTTGAGTCCATTGGGACCAAGAGTAACACTACCAATACTATAAGCCCATGAATAGTAAGAGCATCAGAGTAGTCAGTAATAATGCAGAAAGTCAGAAGTGTTTAACAAATACATCCATTCCTTGCCCAGGAGAAAACCAGACATTGTATTCATATCATAAGGAAAGGATGAATATTTTCCACTCTAGCCATAATCGACACTGATGTAAACCAGTCACTACTAAAGTAACTAGTATAAGTACGACCAGGTACCTTGCACCAGGATTACTACAAGAGCAGGTTAGGAAGCTCCTCTGGATGCTGATTTTAGTAATTCAGGTCCAGAAGTGGCAGAAACTTGAGAGAAAGCAAATATTACGGCAGTGTTTGGACACAGTAAAGGAAATGATCAAATAAGCATAAGTCTGTCAGCCTGACACTTACTGAGGGTAGTAACAACAGAAAATTTGATACAAGGTTTAACTGCTAAATAATTCAAGCAGGTACTTTAAAAAATAACATTTTGCAAGAATTTATGGAAAACAGAGCTTCTAAAAGTTGCTGATATAATCACTGCAAAAGACAGAGACAGATAGGACCCGTTGCTCTCACTTGTTCTAATCTCCAGAAAAGATACAAAATATTCACTTTATCCCCCAGGTAAGAAATATTTGGGGGTTAGGAAAATGTGACACAAAATTCAGGCTTATGCTCCTTGAAAAAAACATTTATCAAACTTAGAAGGATGGAGGAGGTCCTAATTAGGGCTGGTACAATTTGATATAATTTTTCATTGAAAATTACCAGCTGTAATCTGTTAATTTTTGGTTAGTTGTGGTGATGCAGCAATAGTTTTTTGTTAGTATCAGATTTTAGCAATGGTATAAAGCCTTGAAGCAGTGCGATCCCGAGCAGCTGCAGAAACCCATAGCTGATATGAGATACTCTTCTTCCCTCTATTTTTACACACGCTTCAGTAATTAACCTCCAATATAAAGAAATAAAGTATTTGTGAAAGAAGTAGAAGAGAAACAGCCAACGTCATCTAATTTCTACCCAAGTCAGAAATAGACATGAAGCATGGTCTCTGTAAATAACTGAAATGCTTTTTTTCAAATCTGTCATTTCTTTGCTGAAATAAGGCACATCAAATTCCTTGAGGTGAAGAGGCAAATTCCCTTTTTGTCCTGAACTTTCAGAAATAATCCCAGCACATGCTCACCACTCCCAGATGGAGCATGCAACGGCAGGTTACCGAGTTCAGGGAATAACTGGGGTTCACGTTGCCAGTTGCTTCGTGCAGTTATTTCTACATTTTCCAACAGCCCTTTTACCATATGGAGACTAAGCTCACTTTCAATCTCCAAACCATCACACCTGCTTTAAAATTGTCCATGACTCCAGGGGTGGGATTGAAATCCCACATTAGGACACAGGAGCATAGCGAGGTGTCCAAATTCCCACTGCGGTCAGTGGAAACGTAGTCAACGTAGTCAGTGAAAACTGGAGAGTTATTTGCCTGAAGAAGACACCCGCTTTGATCAGCAGGTTAAACCCCACACAAACCCCTTTAACATTAATTTTTCAGAGAAAATGATCCAATGCCTTGCAGCAGGAAAACAGAGCGCTCTTTTCCAAGGAAATTTTTCAATATACGTTTCTCTCTGTAATACAATTTCTCCTCAGGACCATACAGAAGGCATTGCTTGCTCACTGCTTTCAAGCAAGTGTTCTTTCAAAGACCCCATTGTTCCTCAACTTTATGGAAACTTCTCTGCTTCGCAGCTCTGTCCTCTTAATGCATGACATCTGAAGGCTGCAGCTACCCCCAGATTTTTGCAAACACCATGCCTGTTTTCAAGAATAAGTACAAACGAAAGCTTTGCATTGATTTCTCTCTGCTTTTTGTTGTCTTTCAGAATTTATTCTTCCTCACTTCTGGATGTGTCTGTTGACTTTTTCGAAGGAAGGAAAATGACAGCGTTCTCCCAAATGCTGTGTGTGCCCTTCCAGCTCCAGCCGGGAAATAACACTGCATCCGAGCCAGGCTTGCAGGGGATGCAAATCCCTTGTACCAAGACTGTCCTCCCCAGTCAGACAAACTAGAGCCACCTCTGTCTTGCAGCAGAGAGCTAAGAAATGACCAGCAATTTCGCTCAGGTCACCCTAAGCCGTAACCTTCAGTGCGAACTCCCTCACTTGCAGGAACAGGGTGGGAGGTGCACGCTATGAGAACGCCTAAGGTATGAAGACACATTTGCATCACATCTCTGATAATCAAGATATGCTGCCAAACGGCTGTTTATAGGTACTTGGTTATCGCATCATGATTCGCAATATTGCAGAATATATGTAAAAAACAAGACCCAAACCGAGACAATACCCTGCAGCATCACCTCTGATGACAGAAATATATTTTCCACACCTGCTGACTTCACACCCAAACCAACGTCTGTTTAATAAACACTAGGGGGAGAAAAAAATACTGACTCTGGAGTTTCATCAACTATTAGAGAAAACCTGTTAGTGTGTCAACAATCAGCTATTTCTGCTTGATGACTGTCACGCACATCCAGATAAGACGTGTTTCTCAGCTGTTCTTATTTGCGACAAGGGCACGATACAGGCGTATACTAATTTTAAAAAGCAATCAGATAACCTGACTTATGGATTGCATTAAAAGGAATCTCATGGTGGAACTCAGACATGAGATTATCTTGTTCATACATATGGTATAAGCACATTTTCATCCCAGTTTGAGTTTGGATTTTAAAGCTAATTACATTTAGTTAGACAAGATGAGGAGATTTTTAAGTGTGTTGACAGTCTTTTTACTTTGTAAGCCATGCGAATTGCCAATTATTAGCACCTTACAATCTTCGGATCTTCACCCCTGACATTTTTCTTCAAAGCCTTTTATTCCAGTTTCTTTGGGTATTCTTCAGAGCCCTACCTAATCTTCCCATTTGAACGTCATTCACTCACCTTCCACACATGCCAAGCTTGTTGACTTACTTAACAATACAGCTTTGCAAGATCCCAAGACACTTGTTGTCACAATGTTTGATAATGCAAATACTCCCTGGAAGAAAATTATTTTTACTTTTTTTTTTTTTTTTTTTTTTACCCTGAAATATTGCATTGTAATTTTTTTCTCCAAAAAATTATTAAAACCAAAATTTTAACAGTTTTTATGGCTTTTAGAAATAGGAAACAAAACCCAAATACATTAAAGAAGGACACTGAGCTGGACCAAGAGTGCAACAAAGCATTATAGTCCTAATTCCTAAAACCAAGTAAAAATTCAGGATCTTGGCAGGAGTCAAGGTTCCCCCACCTGAATTTCAGTAACCTGGAAACTTTAATAAACCTGGCCCAAACTCTTCAACAGTTAAATCAGTCTCCAAAAGAGGAGCCCCTTCCCTGGTGTCCTCACTGGAGCCCCGTCTGCCATCAGCCGAGGACGTGTCCTGCTTGGTCCCAGCACCGCTGGGAGGTACTCCCCCTTTCAAAGGCAGCCAAGTCCATTTGCGTCACACGCACTGACTGCCCGGGACTGTCCCTTTTCTGCGCCTGTGCCCATTTGGCAGGCCCCCCGGCCCTTCCCCCAGCCCATCACCGCAGTCTGCACACACACAGATTGCAGCATGAGCACCGTTTTGGCACTTCAAATGCACAACACATGTTTTGAAGGTTAACAGATAGTGACAAGTATAATCACAGCCTCTGCTGAAGTTTCAACCTGCCAGCCAGCCAGTTATGCTATTATTTTCGATAGTTTTTTCTCCCCACATACAAATACCCCATCACTTTGCAAGGCAGCTCCACAAGCAGCTGCAACACGCTCTGTGTTGGAAAGACGGTCGCCTTTTTTTTGTCCCCTTCCTGGTGGCCAACAGCTCTCGACGCTGTTTCCCGCCGTGCCAAGGCACTGCACTGTGATGCTGCTCCTCAACAGACGCATGGCACGAGGATGCTCCAGCAGCTTTGTCCATCTGACGTTCATCGGAACCACCGCAGAAGGCAAGGTTGCCTCTGGAGCTCCATCCTCACATTTCGCCTTCATGGGCTCCAAGCTCCATGGCCAAGAGGAGTCACGAGCTGCCCCGGTCATGGTTGCACGCTGCAGGACTGGGACTGGAGCTGGGGTCACTGCCAGGGCAGGAGGGGGAGGCTCATATATCCTTGTCTAAAGGTTCCCACGACCAGAAAGTTCCTCCTAATCTCAGTGCAGGGGCCTTTCATTCGTCAAGGAGTGTGCTTTGACAGAGGTCTTCTCCCCAGGCAGCCTGAGCTAGTCTCTTGTGCAGGGAAGAGAATACAGAAAAGGGCCTTAAAATGTGAGTGTAGCAACACCCCCGGCTCCCCCCAACCCTACAGTACACTGTTTACTTGTGTTCACTCCTACAGCCTCAGTGGGGACACAGTTCCTGGCCATTGCAGTGTGCAGAAAAACACTGGCCTAAACCTTCATATTTTCAGCATTAGGCTTCTGAAAATTTCTGCCCAGAAGCTCCTCTGGATTTTTCAGTGTACCATTTTGATTTCATCTTAGCAGAGAAAGGAGAGACCAAGCTTTCTCCTTCCATCCCTGGAAGAGGGTCCAAAGATAGATACCTGCAGCACTAAGGGCATTCAAAGTCCATCTCTATTACGAATGCTGCTGACCTGCGCTAAGCAGCATGGACACTGAGTGAGAGTTCTTTCTTCAGGGTGCTTAACACACTCTGCAATTGAATCCTGAGGGTAGAAAACAAACGCTGAGCCTGGTGGATATAATCTGGAAGAGCAGGGGAAAAAAGCCAGGTTGTTGATTAACAAAACAGGGGCACTCAACTTTTTGAAAAGACTTTTTTTTTTTCCAATTAAGCTGAAAAAAGGGCAGCTGTAAATACTCATTTAAGGGGTCATTAACTCTGCCGCCCAAAATAAAGCAAACATAGCAGCATTCAAAAGAGCCGTGATGAGCTGACAGAGTCTGCAGCACTCCTCCCCAGTGAAATCCATTGCTCATTTCCACTGGAGCTAGCATGCGTTTTCTGTAGGGCTACACGAAGTGTATATCCCTGTCCCCATCCCAGTGACGGGGACACCAGCCGTGTTCAGTAGGATCACAGCACCAGAAGGCGGTGACAGGGACAGCGCTGGCATCTTTGTGGAGGAAAGTCAGAGGCTCAAGATGCAACTAGAAAACATGACAGCATTGATGTTTATGATGTGCCAGCATAAGAAAATGCAAAGGGCTATTTCCTTTGGGGTGGGAAGGATGGATAGGGCATAAGATTTTTCTCTCTGCTGGCTTCCCAACTTCCTAGCAATACCTGTAAACGAGCATGGCACTCTCCTAGTTTTGGGGAAGGAAATATCACCTCCCCTGTAACTTTCTGGCAATATACCAGTTTGGG